TCTCTGCCTTTGGGCGAAAGTTCTTTCCAAGTTATAGGAAACAAAATAGCTAATAATAATATGCCTGGCATGAATAATTAACAGGTTGGCACTTGTGCTTTCTTTGTTTTCTCAAGTTTCATAAAAGGGGGGCTATATTTTTGCTTGGGTGGTACTGGTCCTGTTTGGTCACAAGAGGGCAAGCGTAGCATATTATTTAATTTTACAATTCCTTTAGTTTCATTTTTATCTGGTCACTATAGGTACAGTATCTCTTTTGACGTCATAGCGCTGAGTTGTATACAATCCAAGGTTAGTTTTTCTCTCGTATGAAAAGCTCAAGTGCTTTGAATTGAGGCACAGACAGGGGTGTAAATATGCAGCACTGTTACAAACCAGAAAATAATAGTGTGAGACTACAATTACAGAGTTTGTTGTGTTAGCCTCTGACCTTTTGCCATCTGATCTTTTGCCATCTGATCTTTTGCTCTTTTGCCATTGACATCCGAAATCAAAGACTTTGATCTTTGACACCCACATGGATTAGGACCATGGGGTAGTAATCAGTGGGCTGGATAATGGCCAGGATCATCCCCATCACATCCTGAATCTTTGCTCTGGGCAGACAGTAGACCTCACATGTTGAGGGGTCCTGGCAACAGATGGGACCCACTATACCCCTCAGGATGGAGTTGCCTATGATAAGCACTCAACGTTTCTTCCTCCAGATCTGCTTTGCTCCTTCAGCCTGTTCAGAGTGTGGAGAGTGTGGGGTGGCCTCCTCTCCGGAGGTTTTCCCCTTTCCTTCCTTTTCCTGCAGTGTTGCCAGGGCCTTGTACCTGTTCTTCAGCCAGATTGGAGGAACTGGTACAGCTCTGCTGTGAGCAGCCCTGGTTCTGGAGGGGACCATGTGCCACTATTCTGTGGAGGGCACCTCCTGGGGTACTTCTCACTTGGATGCATGGCCCTGCAGGGAGGGAAAATACCCATCAGTTTCATCCTCTGCCTTCCTGATTCCGCTCAGCCTGCTAACCGCCTCCTGGAGTTCCCTCACCTGTGCCTCCAGGGCCTTAAGATGGGCACCTGCAGGACAGGTGTGGGGGCCTCCATTCCCTGCCCCCCTGGCCCTGCTGGGCATTCCCTGAAGGCCAGGGGGTAGGGGGACACCACTTCCCTATGGGTTCTGTCTTGGTGGAGGCCTCAGACAAGCCCTGGGTAGGCGGTACCCCCCAGGCAGGGGCCCTTGCAGCACTCCACATCAACACCATTTTATAAGTTGCCATTTATTTAGATTTTTGTGTGGTGCCTTCGTCCTACCCTTGCTGAAGTCTCCCACCTGGCCCTTCCTGCTCACCTGCCTCTTTGCATACTCTGTTCGCACATGCGGCTTGGGAGCATGGCTCCCTGCTGGCTCAGCAAAAACGGACCCAGGGGGCTTCCCCACTGGATCTGGCTCCTCTGGACTGGTTCCCTCTGCCCCCACTTGCCTTAGGGGGATCAGCTGATACTGCCCCCACTGCTGCCTCCACTGCTGCCTTCACTGCCGCTGCCTCTGATCTGATAAGGGGGAACACATGCATGTGGGGGGGGTCAGGTGTGCCCAGCTCCCTCCTTAGCTCCTGGCCCCGAGAGGAGCTGGAGCTGACGAGAATATAAATGTTGTCTGGAGGAGAATATAAATGTTATTCAACCATCCAAATAAGGTTTTATTTGAACCAGATGGTCCAAGACAGGATTCTAAAATGTACTGCCTAGGATATATAATAAGGGTTCAAACTCATATTTTTACCAAACAATTAAGAGTTCTTAATTGAAATAAAGTTTTCATAGGAAGCACTTTTTGAGATCACATAGAATTTGGTAGAGCTAAAAGCTGCCTTAAACAGGAATTAGAAATTCTTTTATTTTTTAATGAACCAGAGAGTCAGCACCTAAGCATTTCCCTCCATACAATAAAATAGACTCCAGCTTAGGTCTACAAACCTTAGTGCTGCCAATAAAACACCTTTCTTCTGGTGTTATTGTACATGGATAAAACCCCATCCCATGCTTGTTTTGCTATATGCTTGTGCTTTCAATGTGTTTATTCTTGCTCAGATTTTTATTAAAGGGGATTCCAAGGTATTTGGATGAGGACACCAGTTCTAATTTCTTTTTCTGTAAAAACCATGCTTATTTTCTCCTTTCATTCCCCTAAAGCAGCACTTTGGATTTAGCTGTGTTGATTTCTAAGCTGTTTGAGAAGCAATATTGCTGAAAAGCATTTAATAACCTTTGGAGGCCTATCTGGAATTGTGACATTAATAACAGAACATTTGCATATAGCAAAGTAGAGAAAAAAACATTTAATGTGATAAGTATATGGAATTGATTTTGTAAAAGCACATTTTTAGATCATTCAGTTACCTGAGGTTGAGAAGGAAAAGAAGAATCTGGTTGTTGCTTGATGCATCTAATTGCCAGGTTGCATTGAATATGGATCTAGACAAACCAAAATATTAACAAAAATTTTGCAAACAAACCAGACACCCAGCCACTTATACACAATAGCTCTGATGCTACCAATCAACATATACTACTTTTAAAGTGACTGACAGATATTCTCTGCTGCAGTTTGTATGTTTTCCTTTTTCAACTTCCCACCTTAAAAGTTGGTTGTTGATATTCTAAGACTAATTTAGATTTGTGTAAATGAGGATGTGATTCTACAGAAGATGTACCTATTGACACAAGTCTTTAATTTGTTCCTCTGCCTCTTCTAGACAGACAAAGGACAATTAATGCCTCAATTTCATTGTAAATAAGGCTGCACTTTTTGTTCTTAGTGTGGAGCACTAATGAGGGTGCTTTTGTGTTCAGCAAACTATTAGGGGAACCCCGGTGGTACTTCCCCTTCTTAGGTACATACATCCCTATAGTCATAGTTCTCAAATATATTTTATATATTTCTACCATGAAGCCAATGTTGGGGTTAGGTACTGTATGGCCTAAACCTCTCCAGCTCACTGTCTTACCAGAAGACAATGTCAGGATGGGGATCAACACCATCACAGCTGTTCTCCAGTGTTATCTTTCTCACCTGCTGTGCCTTTGATCTTTAAAGTTGATAACTTATTATGCTGGGTGATAGGTCCAGGCCTGTCCCTCATAGGAAATTCTTTGTGGGGCTTTGCCTCCCCTTATACCCCATACTTACCACATCCTAGATGTTATCCAAATTCTTCTCTTGGGCCATGGCACCTTATCCCCAGTGTTTTCTAGACCACTGGGCCATTACATCTTATCCTCAGTCTTTCCTAGACCACTGGGATGCTCATCAATCCCTTCTAATCACTTTAATAGAAGTCAATCAGTGGATCAATTGATTTTGGTCCTCCACTCATTCAGGGTCCATCCCCTGCTATTAACTGAATAACAGCCTTCAAAAGGAAATCAACTCAAATCAACTCACTTAATTCCCTAACTGTCTTAGAAGGTGCATCAACTGCAGTCCCTTTCTTCATTCATGGTTGATCTCCTGTATCAATTCCTTAGCAGTCCCAAACAGAGAGGTCGACTTAAGTCCACACATTCATTCAGGGTTGATCCTCCTCTATCAATTGATTTAGCAGTCCCACACAAAAAATAAAATTTGCTAGAGTCCACATGTTCATTCAGGATTGATCCCCCTCTAATCAATACATTTAGCAGTCTTGAAACAGAAAACAATTTAACAAATGAAGTCACTCTGGTTGGCTCTATTGCCCTGCTCACAGAAGGTTTGAGCTCCTGTGCCACACACCACCTGTTTCCTTGAGTACCTACTGCAGCCCAGGGCTTCAGTCATTCTTTGGATGAGCTACACTGTCATTCTGTTGGTGAACCCCATGCTCATTGGTGGTTCCTCTGTCTATTTGTGCCTGTTGCCATGCACCCCCCTCCTGCTGCTAGCTACAGGCTGGCACAGACAGGAGAACCCTCCCTCATCTTCCC